CCACCTTCCTCCCTCTTTCCCTATGGAGCTCCTTGGCTTCCTGCAAAGTTCAACTGACCAGCTCCTTAGGCAAAGATACACAAAATTTTACAGGTAAAAAACAACAACAACAAAACCTGGAAGGAATCTATTTGCCAGCTCTGGATTTTAAGGAAAAAGCTGAACTTGGCTCTGTGTTTCCTTTCCTATGGGTCAGATCCTCACGGGATTTCCAAATTCAACCTGTTTCAGTTTTCCTTGTGGCTCAGACAGAGGTATGGACCATGCTGGTTTCCAGAGGGTATCTGCAGTCCTCAGTCCTAGGAGAGGACTTTCCAGAGGTGAGGATGAACAGGAGGAGGAAGGATAAGGAGCCATTCCACCCTCAGGTGCCACCAGCAGCAGGGAAGGGAGGACAAGACCACACATCCCTGCCAGGTGCTCCAGAGCCTTAATTCTTCCCAGGAGCCCCAGGGAACAGGAAAATGGACCTCACCAGCTTGGATTCACCTCTCCATGCCAACACCTCCCACCTCCTCTTGGCAAATCCTGTCCTTCCAGAGCCTTCCAGAACCAATCCCAGAGTTCCAGCGCGAGGCGGTTCCGTCACCGCAGCATCTCCCCGGGCTTGTGCTTAAGCCTGGCTTGAACTGTGGCCAATGAGAGATGAAACCACACAGGATTAGCTCCCCCCACCAGGGAGGGGACCAGGGTCCAGGCAAGAATTTCCCCCCAAAATCTCCCTTACTCCTCCAGCCTTCCCAGCCATCCCGAGGCTCAGCATCCTCCACCTCCCAGAGCTGCAGCCCAAGGGAGCCAGAGGCTTTGTCCAGCTCCTCCGCTGCCCTGAGGGAAACAAGGAGGGTCTTTTCTCTGCTTGTTCCTTAATTCAGTCGGCAAACATTCCCCACACAAAAAAACTGGGCTGGGAAGAATCGACCCAGGCACCATCTTGCATTTGCCAACTGGATTAGCCCGTAATTGCCGGGTGTCTCAGATGCAAAAGGGCTCCTGGTTCCTGGGCATGGCAGGTCTTTATTTAACTTATTTATCATTATTATTTCCCTCCCCCTTCCTCACCCTGAGCTGTTTCCTAAATCCTGTTTTGTGGGGAGGGTTATGGGGTTCTTTCATCAGCAAAGCCTGTGAGCCCCCCCCGGTGACTTTGGGAGGCAGGAGATTGACCTTTAGGGCTCCTAATGCTGCATTACAACCTCTAATCCCACATTCCAGGGCAGGCTGGAAAACGGGGAGAGGATGGGTAGGAGAGAAAACACCACTTGTCATTGCAAAAGGCATTCACAGCAATGGAAAAGGGGTCACTGCAAGGGAGGGACAGAGACAAAAAATGGAGGCAAAATAGATTTGGGAGGGGTTTTCTGGGGTTGGACAGAAATATCCAACAAACAGGGGAGCTCTGGAGTGATTTATAATAATAATGATAATGATAATGATGATTTAATCTCCTCTCCTTGGTTTCCCACCACTCCCCATCCATTCCAAAAGTTATCTGCTCATGATTGTTATTAATTATTTATCCCCCAGGTGGGGGGTCAGGGCAAGAGCTGCCCCCACCAGAGCTGGGGAGGAGCTGGACAGGAGTGGGCAGCAAAATAAGCCAGGCTGGGAGAGCTGGGGGTGTTCACCTGGAGAAGAGGTGGCTTTGGGAAGACCTGAGAGCCCCTTCCAGGGCCTAAAGGGGCTTCAAGAGAGCTGGAGAGGGACTGGGGACAAGGGATGGAGGGACAGGACACAGGGAATGGCTTTAAATGGGAAGAGAGTAGGGTTAGATGGGATATTGGGAAGGAATTCCTGGCTGGGAGGGTGGGGAGGCCCTGGCCCAGGTTGTCCAGAGAAGCTGTGGCTGCCCCTGGATCCCTGGAAGTGTCCAAGGCCAGGTTGAAGCAACCTGGGCTAGTGGAAGGTGTCCCTGCCCATGGCAGGGGGTTGGAATGGGATGATCTTTAAGGTCCCTTCCAACCCAAACCATTCTGTGATTCTGTGATTCCATGAACAGCTTTCCCCTCTGGAAGAAGAGGGGAAAACCAAACCCATTTTTCCCCTTGGGAAGACCAATAGAGCTCTAAGACAGGAAATTCTCTCCATCTGCCCACTTTATCTTCCCAGCAGGCTCATCCCACCAGTCCATCTCAAAGGGTGACAGCGTTTAGGACAAGCCAGCTCTGTCCCCATAATCTCCCTAAAATATTCCACACTTTGTACATTGTATGGATGTTATGGATTTAATGAGGCCATTATGTCACTAGACAACATAAATCTTATTTCAAGGTTCTGCTACAACCACACACAAGGAAGTGGGAAGAAGAGGGATTTGGGCAGAGGAAGGAGGAACAGGGAACCCTGAGCAAGCAATAAAAACATCAACCACAAAAGGAAAAAGAGAGAGGAAAGGATGGACTTCAAAACACCCACATTTGAAAGTCAATATTGATACCTGTGACCTGAAGAACATCTCAGGGTCTTGGTGTGCAGCAAAGAAAGAACCTGAGCTTCAGTCAGTGATGTTTTCATCCCAGCCTTTTCCTTCCCAGTGGTGCAGAGTGGAGCATTCCAACCCTCTGGCCACGGTTTGGTTGGTTTTAACCAGTGGCAAAAAAGGAACAGGACAAAATTTGTTAGGATCTAGGTTGCTGTTGAGTCTCTGGGAGGTTTTAATCTGGAATATTGGGGTTTTTTTCGTGTAAAAACGTGAGAATGTCACATGGGAGCATGTTGATTTTGATAACGTTGTATTCCAGAAAAAAAAAAAAAGAAAAAAGAAAGAAAATTAATAGTTTAGGTTGAAAATGTCCTTGTCTGACATGCACAGGGTGGAATGATTCATGTTATTCAAGCAATCTGGGGAAGAGAGGCTAAGGAAGGGGATTAACTTCTGGGTAAAGTTTAGAGTGAATTTTAAATTACAGAATCCCCTTCAAAGCCAGGGTTGGATCCCACACACTCTGTGTGCCTTCCAGTCTGCGTCTGTGGAGACGAACGCGCTGATACCTCCCCATCCGCCAGCCCAGACAGCTAACTAATAATTAAACCTCGTTATTGCAGCCCCAGGAAGGTTCCTGGTGTCTTTCTCAGAGTCCTGACTCCCCATCGAGTCTGGTGGCCAAGTGAGAAACCCGAGGTCGTGGTTTGAGCTCTGAGAGCCGGGCACGAACAGGCGCCGAGCCAAATTACTCCTCATTCCCTCTCCTCCGTCACATTCCGGCTCCTCTGCTCACACCCCTCCCGCTTTTAAACCATTTTCCTCTTGGTTTATGTTCCTGTGAACGAAACAAAATAAACCAAAGCGAGTCAGCCCTGCCTGGGTTTGGGGTTTGCTGCCTTTCTGCGAGACGCTCACCGGGGCTTCGCTCGCGGCAGAGCCAAACCCAGAGGACAATTAAACTCCAGGTTCCCTTTTAAATCAAACATTCCCCTCCAGGTCGCGGGTTCTGCTCCAAACCAGGCAGAGAATCCACCAAAAGGGTCAGAAAAAGAGTTCAAGATCGTGGCACGACTCCTTGCAAATCCCCATCCTGGATTTTAGGGATGAATTTCTGCTCCGGGATTGGAACATCCCCATTTTTCACTCAGGTCTGCAGACAGGGGAAGGATGTTTGTTATTCCTGAGGACAGATTGTATTTTTTTTTTTCCTGGATTCCCAACAGCCAGCAAGGAGCAAAGAGGGCTGGAGGAGCTCATTGCTTTGCTAATGTGTGGTTTGCAACAAGAGCTGCGGAAAGGCTTCTTGAAGGAAAACCAAACTGGCTTCGGGAAGGAGCCAAACCCAAGTGTTTGGGAGGGATCCGGGGCAGAGGATGAAGAGTGGGGAGGGGGAGAGGTGAAGGAGGGTAATCAGAGCTGTGTGTGGTACTTCCACATAGAAAAAAAGTAAAAAAAAAAGTCTGGAGGAATGGATTTGGGATTCCTCCCTTTGGAAACAGTTGGGGAAAAAAAAAAAATGAGAGCAGAAACCTGCATTTAAGAAGAGGTTAGAAATGTTTAAAGAGCAAATAGACCCAAAAAACCCCAAACCATGTCCTTGAGGGTTTGTCTCCCATCAGCATTCCCGTTCCAGGAGAGCACCCTGGGTAAGGCTACGTGACCAATGGATGTGTCCTGACCCCAAAGGCACCACAAGAATAATAGATCTTATATTGCACTTTCCTTTGGTGGAGTTCAGAACACTTTATGGGAAAAGCTGTGTTTTCCACCAAAAAAAAAAAAATAATGTTCTCCAACAGGAACTGGAACCGGGAAAACAAAACAAAATAAACCCTGACTTTTAGAAAATTTCCATCTAAAATATAAAATCTGGAGGGGAAAAAACCATTTGGGGAGGGAGGGGGGAAGTTTTGCTTAAAACCAAAACATTTCATTTCTGAGAAAAGTAAAAAAGCCAAGGCAGGGGGAGGTTGAAGTGGACTTGCACCTCCATCTCCCAAGCCACAAACGAGTCTGTCTTCAGTTCAGCTGTGATGTCAGCAGGCATTTCAGGTAAACATCAAAAAATCGAGTTCAGTGAAGTCACTGGGCTATAAAGCAGCCTCTCAAGGGGATCTCTGTGCCCACACACTGGTGGATCACTGATGGAGAGCAGCAAAGCAAAGAGGGTCCCAGAGGGAACATTCACTCCTCTTATCCCATCCCACCCAAGTGCCTCCAGCATTCCCTGCACATCCTGCTGTGGATAATATCACAATACGGACCCAAGGTCAAGCTGAACACACACAGGCCGTTCCCAAGGCTCCAAAATTCCCAAGTGCTCCACTCAGGGGGTGAATTCCCCCGAATGACACCGAGCTCCAGCCTCCCCAAGACCCCGAGGTTTTCCCCCCGAGTTAATCCTGCATGGAGTTCTCGCGGAGCACACGGATCATGTCATGTATGGAGCCTCCCAAGAGGTCATCTGCCACTTCAGAGGGACGAAGGGAGCCAAGAATAGCAGAAAGCCAGGGCAGTGCATACCCCTGGGTGCTCCCCAGCCGGGCTGGACTCCGGGAGACATGTAATTTTCACACCATTTCTCACCAACGTACACTCAGACAACTCCGTCTCTTCCCAGCCCTGCGGTCTGAACACACAGATCTCCAATTTTCACTTTGTCTTCTCGTTCAGGAGGGTTGGCAGAGCCTGGAGGCAAAATGCCTTCAGTCTGCTGAGCTCCTTGCTCTGTTTTCTGTTGGCCTCTGGAATTAGCTCCTCTGTTTAATAACTGTTTCATTAAGCAGAGGGTGGTGAGAAATAACCAAGTCACCAAACCTACCTGGATGGGTTGGCTGATATTTCCTGGTGGCTTTACTGCACAACAGCTGGGAGTGAGGGGGGACATTGAGATCTGGCAGTGAGAGAAAACACGTCACAGTGAAGCAGAAAATGTGTTGGTTTGTCTCCTTCCCACCTCCTTTTGCGGGAGAAGAAACCCTTGCAACCTTCAGCCTTCACCCACCTCTTCAAACAAACACACACGCTCCTCCAGCTAACAGAGGTACAGAGGTTCTACCATTCCTGTGATCAAAAAAAAAGGAGGGATTAATGATTTGGGAGGTAAATTTGCAAATTGGCTGTTGCCAGCCATCAGTCACCGTGTGAGCAGGGACAAATGGAACAGGTTCTCCTCTCAGCTGGAGCTGCTCACACACCATCAATACCCTGCCCAGAAACCAAGCAAATCTGTTCCAGATGGAGAGATTTGAAAGAATTTTACACCTAAACCCGGCATGAGGTGTAACCAATCTAATCTTTCATCAAATGTGACAGTGGAGGATACAGAAAAACACCTTGTAAGGTGGATTTCTTGCCCTGAATTTGTGGGAGTTGCAACAGAAGTGTTGGATGTGCAAGAAGACCTTGACACAAAGCCAAGGTTTGGTCTCCACACGAGGATGGTGCTGGACTGGGTTGAGGGTGTGATGGACAGACACACCATCAGTGTGTGATGCTGCCAGCAGGTCCAACTTCCAAGGTTTTCCAACCAAACTGGGCTTAGATATTTAGATCCCAAGAAAACCTGTCAAATCTAAGTGAATTAGGTGCTGAGGAATCAGTGCATCCTGATTCCTTCACCTCTGGACCTCTGGAAGTCCTGCTGGAACTGGTGCTGAAATCCAGCCTGACAACAAAAGGGTTAACACCATACCTAAGGAATGCTTCCAAAATGCAAATAGATTTAAAGTTAGACCTCTCAGTGATTTACTGGCACATGCAGACACGGAGCAACATCATCCTTTGCCAGTCCCAGTGGCCAATAACTCATCACACTCAAATCCTCTCAGGTTCAAGAATTCCATAGATCAGATTCTTGGTGTGATTATCTGGTTGGGTTTTTTTTTAAATGATGGCCCCACCATATAAGCCTTAAAACAAACTCCACATGAGGAACAAACCTGTCAGCAACTGCCAGCAAAGAGAGGAACTGCAGCTTGGTCCCTGACAGTCAGGGCTGTCTGGGATGTCTTCTCCAAACTCCAGGTGATCCGGGCCGAGAGAATCTCCCTGGATTACAATTCAGGGCCCCATCCAAATCCTCCTCTGGGTGGACATGAGGGGAGAAGGTCAAGTACAGGGACCTCTATATCAGAGGAGGAATCTGTTGATGCCACTCTGGGAACCAAAATGCTTCTTGCTGTTGGAGGCAGGGATCTGCCGTGGAGCTTCTGTCTCCTGCCTTTCTCCTCCTGCTTTTGGAGTAGAGATGGAATCCACATCCAGCACTGGGACCACCTCAGCAAGACACTTCCCAAAAGGGCTCTCTTGCCACCTTAAAGATGCCCATGGATACCTGGGCAAGAGCCAATAGATTTTGGGTCAAGATCTAAACCGAATGCAATTCACCCTTCAGGATCCTGTGTCTACCCATAAACCCAGGACACACTGAGTAGATGGGAAGAAAAATGTCTTGGAAGAGAGAGTCTCAATGATTGGAACAGAAAAGAAAATTGCACTAATTTAAATCAGGATCAGACTTGCTCACAAACACCAAACTCCATCTACCCACACAAGCACTTTTCTCTAAACCTTACCAAAAAAATTAAAAAAAAAAAAAAAAAGAAAAAGAAAAAATCCCAGTTTGGCTTGGATTGAACTGAGTTGAGCTCGAAGACCAAAACCAGTCACTAATTAACGGTGTTGGGTTTTCTGGTATTTATGCACCATAAAAATTAATAAGGGGACTTCTCTGGGAAAATAAATGGTTAGCTGGAAAGCCAACCCCGGGCCCTCGTTGTTTTCCTGTTACTCATAACTTCCCGGCGAGATTCCTTGAAACTTCGGGCTGGGAACTTCCCAGGAACTTCTAGTAATTTCCCAGAGCCAAGATTTCCAGTGAGGAATTGCTGCAGTCTCCCTGATATCGGTTGTACAGAGACTGGGGGCAGAATTTAACTGCTCAGGCTGATTTCCAAGAGCTCTTGTTCTCAGAGCACTCAGGAAGAACACACACAGCATTTTCAGAAGCTGGATGTGTTTTTAGATGCATCTTTCTTTCTAATTTTCTGCACATCCAGTAGGTTTAGCCCTGGAAGCAAGAGGAGAAAGCTCCTCAGACAAGGAATAGGAGATTTAGATCCCCAAACAAAGACTGAAGTCTTGGATATCTGGTGGAGTTTCCATAATCCTTATGAGCATCTCATTGCCTCAAGAGGTAAATCCATTCCACCACCACCATTCCCACCTGTGGAAGAGGCACAGAGATACCAGCAGAGATATCAGCTCGGTCCTTTAAACAACAAAGTTTGTATTAAATGTGGCATCTGAGCTGAAAAATCCTGTTTTCCAGTAGGTTTAGCCCTGGAAGCAAGAGGAGAAAGCTCCTCAGACAGCAAACAGGAGATTTAGATCCCAAATAAGGACTGAAGTCTTGGATATCTGGTGGAGTTTTCATAATCCTTATGAGCATCTCAGTGCCTCAAGAGGAAAATCCATTCCACCACCATTCTCACCTGTGGAAGAGCCACAGAGATACCAGCTCAGTCCCTTAAACAACAAAGTTTGTATTAAATGTTGCATCTGAGCTGAAAAATCCTGTTTTCCAGTAGGTTTAGCCCTGGAAGCAAGAAGAGAAAGCTCCTCAGACAGCAAACAGGAGATTTAGATCCCAAACAAGGACTGAAGTCTTGGATATCTGATATTGCCCAACTTGCTGGTGGAGTTTCCATAATCCTTATGAGCATCTCAGTCCCTCAAGAGGTAAATCCATTCCACCACCACCATTCCCACCTGTGGAAGAGGCGCAGAGAAGCCTGGATGGACTGGAAGAGAGGAAAGGGAGCTCAGAGCTTTCTGCTGAGCAGCCCTTGGGGCTAATCAGGAGAACTCAGGAGAACTCAGGAGCTCAGGTTTAGGGGCTTCACGAGGAAAACCAGCCCTGATTCCACATCCTTGCACTGCAGCCGGGAGACTCAGGTGGAAGAACCTGTGTCAAATCTTCAGCTGGAGCAAATTGTGATGGTTTTTGACCTTGGCAGAGCTCTCCTGCTTGATATCACCCTCCTCTTTGATTTTTGTTGTGATTTTTTTCCTCCCTCCTTACAATTCTCCCAAAATCCGTGACTCCAGCTTTTCCCCCTTAACAAATCCACTTCTTGCAGCAGCACAGCCCTGGAGAAGGAATCCTGCTTGGGCATTTCTAGGTCTTCTTTGAGGCCTGTGGAGAGCTGCGGGTGTTTGGCTCGGGATGAAAGGAAGAACTAACAATGCTGGTTTATTCCTGAGATTTTGCTGCAGTATTTCAGTGATGTCAGAGCCAAACCTTAGGAAAAAAAAAAAAAGAAAAAAAAATGTATATGTGGAGTACACGGGGTTGGGTCCAGTGGATGGATTAAAAGAACAGGATTATTTTGATTACCTTGATTTAAAGCACCGGCGCAGGCGAATCATGTTCAGCCAAAGAAATATCAGGGAGACAAAATTTACTTCTCTGTTTGCAGGAGAGCAGGAGAGGAGGAAGGCAGGGAGGGAAGAAAAATGACTCTGAATCAAAAGAGGAAAATACACAACCCAGCTCAACATTTTCTTCTTGCAGTGATTTCCTTTCTCGAGAGGGCGACCACAAAAGGCAGAGATGTTTAATCCATTAAAAGTGGAGTTTTCTGGACAGAATAATCCGAGTTTTGTCAAGCCACCAGCCTGCTTCTCACTGGGTGGGCTCTGGCTGAGGAGGGAACAGACTTTCAGTGGGTTCCCTCAGAACAGGTCAGGGTGCCACAGGCTTTGGGGATGGGATCTCAGAACCTCTGCTGGCAGGTTGGCAGCAGGAAGCACTTTGGGAAAAGGGATTTTCCTCAGGGAGCAGCACAAATCTCAATACCTGGTACCAGGGTGGCAAGGGGAAGGAGGACTTTGGTGAGAGCACTTGGGGGAAGAGGGAGATTCTGGTTCTTTTTCCATGTTTTGTTTCACGAGTCATTCTTCCCGTTTTCCTCAAAGGTTGGAAAGGCAGAAGATCCCCCAGTTTTTGTGACACATGGATTAATGGATGGAGGCTTGGAAAGCCTGGCAGTGCAAATCATCTCTGGTGGGAGAGTGGCTTTCCTTAAGCACTAACACAAAGAATGGATGCAGATCCCTCCTGTCCCTCCATCCTCTCCTCTGGAACAGGGAGGACACCACCAGGACCAGCATGGAATTCGCACACAAATACTAAAGAAAAATGAAGCAAAGGTCACGGCATCAACCCCTCACCCTCCCTCCAGCACCTGTCCTGGGTGGGGCTGCACCTTCCCTTGGACATGGGATGCCTAAATTCAAATTTCAGGACAACCTTGGTCACTCTTGGTCAGTTCTTTGGCTGTTCTGCCACAGGCCTCCCTGTCTCTGTTATTTTGTGACAAGTGCTTAGGGAGCCCAGTTTTGTCCTGATGTAAGAAAAATAAGTGAAAACTCTTTGAAAAAGTAACTATTTATGGCACTTGTGGGGGAAAAAAACCAGTTTCTTACTCATATTATTTATACTTTGCTTTCATTTGCACACGGGCTCACACAAACAGGCTTTGATCAGAAAATCAAAGAATCCTTTAGGTTGGAAAAGATCTTTGAGATTATCAAGTTCAGCTTCAACTTGTTTGCACCGGATCTTTACACAAGCAAAGACATTTTGCCCCTCCCTCCTCTGTCAAGAAAACAGGAAACACGCTTTTTATCTCTTCAGTTAAAAGTGATTTCCACACGAAAAGTTATTTTTTTCTCATCAAAATGATCATTTGTGTTGAATCAAATGGCAAAAGGGACCCTGATGTCCAAAAAACCCCAGATACAGATGGGTGAGGAGATGTGGGTCAGTGTAGAAATGCTGCATCTGCAGGAGCTGGGCTTGGATGATTCGTGTGGGTCCATTCCCATTCTGGATATTCTGTGATTCCATAGGTCCCGAGAGGTCTCCACACTGATTCCAGTCCTGACATTCCCCACAATCTCTGGTGGGAGCAGACAAACAGCAAAGCCCTTTCACTGTTACTTCCCAATCTGGCAAGGGATAAAGGGGGAAGGGGGAGAGTAGAAAGATTTGGGATTCCTTGGAGGGAAACTCAAGGAAAATCCCTCCCTGAAGCTCACCTTGATCCCAGGAATTTGGTCCTTCCTCACCAAAGTCATCCTAACCCTCTGCCCTGCATTTTTAGCTCTCTTTGGGCATGGAAAGGACCAGGATCATCCCAACCTGGAAGGAAGAGAGAAAAATAACCAGTTCCTCCTGTTTTCA